TCTCACCTCCCTCTCTCCTTCACCCTCCCACTCTCGACCTTCTCCCTCTCCCCACTCTTCCTCTTGCTCCTTCTCTCCCCGCCCTCCCTCTCTCTTCCCCTCCCGTTCCCTCCAACAGCTCTTTGCTCCCAGTACTGCTCCCTGTCCTCAACTTACCTAGCATTCCCTGTCAGAACCTCAAGAGCAACCCAGGCTAAGTCACTGATGGCCAAAATGCCACAGAGAGGGACGCTCAAACAGTTTGGTTCAGGACCCCTTCACAGTCCTAAAAAACCTTAAGAACCCCAGAGCTTCTATTTATATGGATTCTGTCTACTGATATTCACATATTGGAAATTAAACAAAAAACTTTTTCAATGAATTAATTTAAAAACAACTATAATCCATCATATTAACATAAATAACATTTCTGTAACAGTAATAATTACTATTTTTCATAGAGATGAGGATTTGCCATGTTGCCCAGGCTGGTCTCAAACTTCTAGGCTCAAGCAATTCTCCTGCTTTGGCCTCCCAAAGTGCTGGGATTATAGGCGTGAGCCACTGCGCCCGGCCAAAAGAACGTATTTTTAATTTTAAAAACCCCTACTTTTTAAAACACAAAGGTGTGAGCAAGAAGAGGGGTGGCAGCCCCTGCGTACATCTCCGCTGCACCCAGCTTGGCAGAAGCCAGTGCCTGCATCGGCCCCAGCAGCCCCCATCTGTGCCTGCACACGCCATGTCTACAGACCTCCACTGTACTTCGGGAGAGAACATGAGGAGGAAGACAAGTAATGTATTGGCATTATGATAAAAAGAGTCTTGGAAGGGTCCCGGGCCACATTCTGAGAATGTATGCTATGGAGCTGTGGGGTGAGGAAGGAGTAAGGAAAAGACTTATAAACAGGTGAGATCAAAGAACAGGGTTCATGAACTTGGACCTTCAGTTAAATTTAAAAGAAAAGAATAGCTGGGCTCGGTGGCTCAGCCTGCAATCCCGCGCCTTTGGGAGGCTGAGGTGAGTGGATTGCCTGAGCCTGCGGGTTCGAGACCTGCCTGGGCAGCTTGGCAAGACCTCATCTCTACAATAAATTTAAAAAATCAGCCGGGCATGGTAGCACGTGCCTGTAATTCCAGCTACTTGGAAGGATGAGGCTGAAGGATCACCGGAGCCCAGCAGATCGAGGCTGCAGTGGCCAGGAGTGGCCACTGCACTCCAGTCTAGGTGACAGAGTGAGACTTCAACTCAAAAAAAAAAAAAAGAAAAAAATAGAATTTCTTCCCAGGAAGTTTACAATATATTAACATAAATCCAAAAAGAGCCAACAGCAGCAAATTGCTAACTGACAGAAAGTTTGGATTTCAGAGATTCCAGGAGAATCCTAAAAAGATACATAATATTTTTTTCTTTATTTTAGAGTCTGGGTTTCACTCTGTCACCCAGGCTAGAGTGCAATGGCATACTCAGTGCAGCCTCCAACTCCTGGGCTCAAGCAAGCCTCCTGCCTCAGCCTTCCAAGTAGCTGGGACTATAGTCATGTAACTCCACGCCCAGCAAACTTAAACACCTTATTTTAGAGAGAGTCTCGCGATGTTGCCCAGGATGGTCTTGACTTCCTGGTCTCAACCCCTCCCGAGTGGCTGGGGTTACAGGTATGAGTCACCATACCTGGCAATTTTCTTAAGATTCTCAAGTCCATAACCCAAAAAAGGTAAGAAGTACTTTTTTACAGAACTCTATTAAGTGAAAGATAAAGCCATCCCAGAGACAAAACAAGTGTCCGACACCTTGGAATTTCGGATATGGATGTCTGCAGTGCTCCAAAATCTGCAAAGGGAAAGGCTGGTATATGATATGCAGAACACTTTAACCTTGAAGCTACCTGCGCCCTCTTCTGAGCACACACCCTCAGTACACACTTCCCTTGCTTTCGGTCACTCATATTGGACACAATGGCTCGTGCACAATGTTCCTCTCGCTTTTTAAAGGTAGCACGAGGCCGGGCACAGTGGCTCAAGACTGTAATCCCAGCACTTTAGGAGGCTGAGGCAAGAGGATTGCCTGAGCCTGCGGGTTCGAGACCAGCCTGGGCAACATAGTAAGACTGCATTTCTACAATAAATTTTTTAAAAATTAGTTGGGCATGGCAACACACGTCTGCAGTTCCGGCTACTCGGAAAGCTGAGGTGGAAGGATCACCAGAGCCCAGAAGGTCAACAGTGGGGTAGCTGTGAGCATGCCACTGCACTCCAGCCTGGGCACTCCAGCCTGGACAACAGAGTGAGACTTCAACAACAACATCAACAAAAAGACAGATTAGATAGAGAGAGAGAGAGACAGACAGACAGACAGACAGACAGAGGTAGCATGAACTCTGGATGACCACAGGGCCGAGACACCTGTGAAGGCGGGGAGGGGGGCGCCCAGCTACCTGCTGCCCCACCGAGAAGGCCTGGTTGTTGAACTGTTGGATGAACTCAGCCGCCATCTTGTCGGTGTCATAGGGGTTGGAGTCAATGCTCTTCTTCTGCAGGAAGTCAATCTCGATGGTCATGGTGCCCACGCACTGCTTAGCTTTGTCAAACGTGTACAAGGAGACTAGGGGAAAAGAGGCAGGTTAAAATCACTGGGGGGAGGGCACACCTCGTCCACAAGGGTACCTGCACATTGAACATTTGTATACCTAACCCTGAATTGTACTCCACAATTTTAAAATAAAAAATTTAAAAGTTAAGAAAAAATAAAATCACAGGGACAGCAAATCCTTGTCGAGGTTCCAGTAACCCAAAGTCCCAGATAAATCAGCCCTCACAGAATTGACCATGGCCTTCCCTGGAGGACACCTGGGCACAGACTAAAGAGACTTCTTCCCCAGCTGAATTAATGGGAAAACAGCAGCCAGCTCTCCCTTTGCTGCCTCCTCTCCCCGCCTTGGGGAAAGCCACACCGTCCCAGTGGCCTCTGCATAAGGACAGCATGGGAATCCGCAAGGAACTGGCATAAACCTGCCTGCAAACCAGGTAAGACGTGGGGAATCCTTCCGCCCTGAGAAAGCAGAGCGCAGGGCAGAGGAAGCTGCCACGAGGGCTTGAGGGGTTACTCTAGGCAGGCCAAAGTGTGGCCGGCCCTCTTCCTAGTGTGGTCGGCCCTCTTCCTAGTGTAGACAGTTGCCCTGACCACAGTGCATCCCGCACACAGCATGAGAGCAGCACGCAGAACAGCCAAGATCAGGCTTTAGCCCCTCTCTGTGTCAACAGCTCCGGCACTTACTGCATTCATGAATTAGTTAAACAAACAGCACAAAACTCCACAAACTCCATGCGAATAACAAAGCAGACAGAAAAGTGGAGAAAGAGCCTGAAGGGAAAAGATTGCAGCTAAAGCCACAAATGTCCTAAAATGACTTTCGGGTCACACTGGCCGACATTTAAACACTGCAGGATTACAGCTGATTTGATATCATGTAATTGTTCAACCAAAAACCACTCATGGAAAAACCACAACAGAGGTTACATATCATATTTTCACAAAAACAGGTGTTGAAAGAGAGGTTCCTATGGACATACAGTCACAAAAAACATTCCCAGATTAAAAAGAATCTATTAAACCAGCATGAAAAACATATTTATAAATATCAGCTAATCAATTAAATTTTAGGCAACAATCATTCCACTGTAGTCAACTCTGCTGGGATCATTAGGAGCCAGGAGTGACTTCCTGGAGACGGGGGATGGGGGGCGCTTTGCTATTTGAGCCCCCACCCCCAGGGCAACTTGACACTTGTGCCCAGGCCAAGACCTCCACCCGTGCTCTACAACACACCTAGCAAAACCCACCTCCTCCCCTAACATGTGCCTAAAACAGATTACATGTTCTAAAATGACAAAAGGCCCTGATGAACAAGTTGAAGCTCTCCTAGGCAACCTCCACTGAAGTGACTCACCGCAATACCCACCACCCTCTACCCTCCGTGTGTACAATCCTCAATAACAACCATCTTCCACCCTCCCACTTGTGCTAATCCTCCTCCAGCTTGTGGTTTATCAGAGCTGGCAACTCCTCACACAGCCCTGGAGCCCCCGCCCACCTGGGCCAACTGTGTCCTCTCTATCCTGTGTGCTGATCATGATTATTCCTGTAATTATGCAGTATAATTTAGCAGTATAAAACTGATGGAGCTGTGACATTTGAGAATCGATATTTAAAACTAAGTTGAATGTTTTGGGAAAACTTACAAAAGAGACAGTTTTATTTTTTAAAAAAAACCTCTTAGCCAGGTGCAGTGTAATTTCAGTATTTTGGGAGGCCGAGGTGAGAGGACTGCCTGAGTACAGGGGTTCAAGACCAGCCTAGGCAACTTGGCGAGTCCTCGTTTCTACAATAACTAAAAAACGTAGCCAGGCATGGTGATGTGCGACTGTGGTACCACCTGCTTGGAAGGCTGAGGTAGACGAATCACCTGAGCCCAGCAGATCGAGGCTGCAGTGGCTGTGAGCATGTCACTGCACTCCAGCCTGGGCGACAGAGTGAGACTCCAACTTAAAAAATAAAAACAAAAACAAAAAACACTCATACCGATGTATGCGGAAGAAAACTGGAAAGATTTGGAATGAAATCTCTAAAGCTTCAGAAGAAATCTGCAATCCCAAGTGCTGTATAAGGTCCAAGTTCTCCACCCAATTCAGAGAAACCCAAATGGAAATTATGCATGGAGTTTATGCATAAAAGACAACACAGAACTCCAACCCATGGACCACAGTTCCATACAAAGACTTTTAACCAATGTTTTAATTAACTAACTCCTAGTCCCAGTCGCCCTGAATAACACAGCTCCTACCGTTCTCACAAAAGCAGGTAATAAAAAAAGACCTGCTTCTCACACTTGCTTTAAACATGATGCACAGCACTTTTTAAAATTATTATGGTCAAACAGCAAGAAGTCCCTGTAGCGTAGCTCTCAGCTCATCAGCTGCAAACCCCTGCTGCAAGGATTCTAGAAATGGGGAAACAAAGCTGTTCCCTTCAAGGGGACTTTGCATCTGCGCGCTTCAGTAGGTTTTGTTACTAACAAGAACTCAAGTCAGTCATTAAAGCTGTCAATGCCAGGACTAGTCCCATCTAAAAATCAAGAAGATGGCAAGTCTTTAAGGTCATTTCACACTCTAAATTCTGTTCTAAACTTATATTTTAAATATTATATACATTTTATTTATATACAAGAATTTTCTGTAAATTCTTTGAACGAAATGGCTTGTGTAATCACATTTCTGCATTTTTAATTTGCCATTTAAAGGGGGACACACATATTTTAAATACTTCAAAAGAAAAATAAGAAAGCCCAAGTAAGGAATGGAAGAAGCACTGGAGATCAAATAGTAAGTCTGAATCTTAGCTGAAAGTTCCAGAATATTCTCCTGCCTTCAATTCCAGGTGCTCTGGTCCTCTTTAAACTTTCTGGAACATACAGGTTATCCGCTGAGTAACTTTCATAGGTAAGAGATCGCAGTTGTTTTTCCACAGTAAAAACATTTATAGGTTGAAATCTTAATGTAAAAATGAACACATCATCCAGCAATTCCATTTCCCAGTGTCTGTCCCAGGGACTCTCAAAGAGTTGCCCTAAGGTCTATGGGGGGCTTCACTGCAGCATTATACGCAGTCGTCAAACACTGGAAGATGCTGACCAATAGGAGAATGATGACTAAAATGAAGAATATTCATAAGGTGAGATAGCATTTTAAAATAAAAACTTGGCATATGGTTAACGAAGATGAGTGGCCCATGAAAGCATCATGTTTTGTGAGAAGGTACACTGCAGAAACTCCAAAGCAAAACCAAAATGTCATAACGTCATGAGCATCCACCCCACACTGAAAAGAGTGAACACGTACATTAAAACTTCACCATCGCTGACTAGTTTTCTAATACATGTTAACTCAAGGCCAGTGTTCCAAATCGAATGGCCATGCAGTAACAGCTATGCCAAATGCTACGGGCAGCACCACGGACAGCATCACCACAGCACCAGGGTCAGCCTGAGGGGACAAGAGTCCTGAAGGGTTCATCCAGGATTCAAGAAAGGGGAAAAGACTGAGGCTGCGTTCTCATTTTATGGCTAATAGCAATTTAACATCAAAGACTAACAAAAAAATAAGTTTTTTCCAGCGCTCAGAAAAAACTTAAGACATGACAATGGCAGGTGTATTCAATGGTCAAAACCGTGTGAAGTGAACAGCCATCCGTAATCCTTCACACGTGGCATGGCCAGAGGGCGAGAAGAAAGACTGAATGGCTCTTCCCGAAGATTCCATCAGACTACGATCACTGACCTGACCTTATGGGATAAACCCCCATTCCGGAATCTGCACACACTCCCTTCAAGTCACCCCTCCCAGCCTGTTCTCTCCTAGCCTGTACCCTCCCAGCCTGTCTGCCCGCATCTCTGCTCACCCTCAGACAGCTTTCCACCTTCACGGCCCCATCAACCACACTACCCAGCCCCAAGCCCTACCTTCCCTCGAGTTCCTCCCCTCTATAACTCGGTTTTACCCTTTTGCTCATTAGGTCTACCTGAGTCACCTCTTTAAAGGCCTGACCCTACAATCAAGATAAGCACTTCTGGTAAGCAGGAGGAACTCTCCAAAATATGTAACCTTGAATTTCCATAGCTTTTCACAACAGAAAATATCTAGATTAAAAGTTTCAAGCACACAATCATAGCCTTATATTCAGAAAAACATATGTAAGAAATTAGAAGCCTAGCTACATACACCCCACTTCCTCATTAGATTCAACAAGTGTTCATACTTCCACAAAGAAAATCAACTAGTGATAAGCCCAATGTTTAAGTTCCAGTTAATTCAGAAACATCACAAGCTGTCAGCTTCCTAAGTCAGAAGAAGGGTGGTCTCTCCTGCCCCTTCAACAGCTCAGCCTTGCAGACATCTCTACTATATACCACATCAGTCACATGCTCCTGGCAAACGCTTTAAGCTGAAAACCCACTCCACGTTAGAGAAATGACAACAAAGTGTAACATATGAACCTGAACTTGATCTATGCCGAGGGGGATAAAGGTTGGACAATCAACAGAACAAACGTGGAACACAAACTACAGATTAGATCAAAGCATTCAACGTCTAATGAACTGAATTTGATGACTGTAGGATCATATCTTTGTTTATAGGAACTACACACTATAAAGTATTAGAGGTTACAAAAAAAGAATGATTTCTGCAACCTAATCTTAAATGTTCCAAAAACATGTGTGTAGGGGTGTGTGTGGAAAGAGAGAACAGGCAGAAGGAGAGGAAGACAGGGAGGCAGAAGGACAGAGAAAGTATGACAACTGGGAGTCTGGGTAAGGTAGCGTACAGGAATCCTACTATTATTGCAACCGTACTGTAAATACGATCTTTTAAAGTTTTAAAGACAAGTAGGAAAAAGCTGGCTTAGTACACTGATGCTTTCTTTCCCTCCCCTGCTGTATCCATGGCACTGACAGAAAGTATCTGACTAAAGAAGGTTCCACTCATCTCCCCAGTGTGGCCACACTGCCCAAGAGACAGTGCCAGATTCTCCTGTTCTGCTCTCCGGCTTGCTACTTGTAATCTGAGCCTGTCCCCCACCCCAGTCACACACTGCTTTCCTGGGCCTTCCCTACTGAACCATGATGGCTGTATGATGCATGTCACTGAGAAGACAGAAGAACACAGTAACATCACTATCTGCTTCCCAGTCTCACAGTTCTGACCAGTATTCTGAATAGACTGAATGTTTAAGGTCTGACAACCAGTAGCAAAAAACTGCCCAAATCCCATAACTGGGAGAAAACCAGACGGAAAATCTACCTCAGATGGCTCTAAAAAATACACCTACCTTCTATTTCTTGTCCAATAGAAAGTCCAGCCCATTTTCGCTGTAAAATAAGAGAAAAACATACTCAAAGTCAAATCGATCAATATTAGAGAAAAAAAGGGGAATGTCTATGCACTTCAGGAACACATTCAAAGACCACAGTATGGTATGCTGCTATGTGTTGAACTGTCCCTCCCCTAAAATATATTGAAGTCTTGGCCCCCAGTACCTGTGAATGTGACATATTTGAAAATATGGCCTTTGGAAATGCCATCACATTAACCTGAGGTCAGACAGAACTAGGGTGGGCTCTAAGCAACATGACTGGTGTCCTTATAAGAAGAGACTTGGCCAGGCACAGTGGCCCATGCCTATAATCTCAGCACTTTGGGAGGCCAAGGTGAGAGGACTGCTTGAACCCACAGGTTCGAGACCAGCCTGGGCAACTTGGTAAGACTTCATCTCTACAATAAGTCAAAAAATAGCCAGGCATAGTGGTGTGTGCCTGTAGTTCCAGCTACTTGGAAGACTGAGATGGAAGGATCACCTGATCCCAGCAGGTCGTGGTGTGTGGCTGTGGTGGCCATGAGCAGGCCATTGCACTCCAGCCTGGGCAACAGAGTGGCCATGAGCAGGCCACTGCACTCCAGCCTGGGCAACAGAGTGAGACTCCGACTCAAAAAAAAGAGAAGAGACTCACAGACACACAGGGGAACCCACATGACAACGGAGGCAAAGACTGAGGGGGCACACCAAAGACACCAGCAATGCAGAAGATGGGCACAGAACAGCTCTTCCCCCCCGCAGAGCCTTCGGAGAACACAGTCCTACCCACACCTTGACTTCATACATCTAGCCTACAGAACTATGAAGGAATAAATTTCTGTTGTTTTAAGTCAGTTTAGGATGATTTGTTACAGCAATTCTCGTAAGTCAACACATGCGCTACAGTTTATATCTGAACATCTATCCCCAAACACACACAGCTTGCCCTGCGCAGGAAAGCCGGTCCCACTAAGTAGGATGTTCCCCGCATATCACACTCTTGAGGGGCTTCGCTGCAGCAGATAACACTTCAGTGTTCTAAACACACTGCTGCAGTTAGCTTCACTGTCTACTACGTTATCATAAAACCTGAGACGCTCAGATCATGAAAACAAAATTAAAGCTGGTCAGAGAATCTACACTGAAACGCAAGCAGGGACTCAAGTAACTGGATGGTTATGACCGTCCTTGGGCCAGCCAGTGACTTCTAGACTTTTACAGCTGGATGTCAGCCCTTACCAAATCCCTGCTGGCTACAGTGGCAGAATGCACAGAGGCCAGAGTGTGTTTAGGCAGGAATGCGGAGTATGCTTGGCACAGACTACAAATTAGTAACTGCTGAGAGCACTCCAAAGAGTGCTCCAACTTTTGGCTGAAAATTCAGTCTGCTGTTCCTCTGTACACTGTGAGTTTTGTGGTGGAGGGGACAGGTGAGGGTACTGCACCGTGGACAGACGCAACAACTGTGGTCTCCCCTCCAACTTCCTGCCATGGTCCTGATTCCCTCCTCACTGTCCACCTCACCTTCCCCAGAGAGACTTCTATAAGCCCCACCCCACTCCTGGCCCGCTGGTTGAGTCCAGGCCCAGGGTCACACAGCAGCCAGCCATACTTAGCTTCTTCCTTCAATCCCCAAGACAGCCCTTAGGAATAATGACAACACCACCTGTAGCAGGTTGCTTAGAGGATTAAGTGAACTAATACCTGCGGAAATATTTAGCACAGTGCCTGGCCCACAGTAAACATTGGGGAAATGTTTTTAATAATGCAGAGGACCAGGTCACAGCTCCAGCTGTTTCTGATACCAGAGTCCTAGATGGAGCTCTGTAGAGACTGGCAAAAAGGCAAGTATCCCAAACTTCTATCTACACAGACAAATGTGAAACGTGGTGCTAGTAATGGATAGGCATCAGAGAGGGGGAATCGTGAGTGATCATGTCCCATGATTGCTGAGGGCTCCAAGAGACCTTTAATAGAGAGAGAGAGAGAGAGAGAGAGAGAGAGAGAGAGAGAGAGAGAGAGAGAGAGAGAGAGAGAGAGTGTGTGTGTGTGTGTGTGTGTGTGTGTGCCTGTCTAATGCACTGTCATTCTGCTACTTGCCTTCGTTTTCATCTATCTGGTTGTGCCTGTTGAGATATATATATATATATGATATATATGACATATATACTGGTACGATTTAAAGATTTTAAGATTTTTAAATTAGAATCACACCAACTTCAGTCCTTTCTAGCTATATAGACAAGGCATTTAACCTCTCTGGCCTTTGGTTCTCCCCTCTATGGAAGGGAGGACCCCCTCCAAAAAAATAGAATTATTTTTTGGAGGGTAGGCCCCTTGTAATACAAGCTTCCTCCCACTAGGTAAGTGTTCTAGAAGTGGCATCAGTGTACTAGCTAG